CTTTTGATTTTTTGCAGTCTCACAGTGAAATTTTAGTGTGATTTTTATCTGCATTTCAGTGGCGTCCATATTAAGACAATTGTTATATTAAGACAAATCTGTTGAATTATTTAGTATGAAATAAAAACATGACTTTCTGTATTCCTCAACACAACATCAGCTAAAGCTCTACATATCTCTGCATCTTAAAAAAAAGCTATTACTGAAATCCAAAGTAAGTTATGGTTGTATATAAAAAGAGACATTCAGAACTATAATAATATTTGTTTTATTATGGCAAATAATAATTTAATAATTTCAAGATGAGAGGACAGTAGCCTAAATCATTTCTGTGAGTAATATTGTCACTTTAATTTTCCTGTCACACCTGCTGCTGTGGAAGCTAAATATATGTTTACATTTACAAGTTGTATGTAGTCCACTAGTTCAAAAATCTTTATAGAATTTATATATAGAGCAAGATGAAATGTATATTTGAGATATATTTTAGAATTTTTACAAATCACAGATCCAACTGTTTTGTTGCTGCTGCCTTCAAACCCTCTCAGTATGGGAAATAGCAGAAATACATTTTAATTGGATATTCATCATAGTCACTGCTGAAAGTAATGATAGTTGTGTCTTCATCTACAAGTCTAGCAGACTCATAGAAATCTTGGAAATTCAACAGCCAGATGGGATGTGTTGCTGTGGAGTGACCTCACTGTCAGGACCAAGGTTGGAAGTCAGGTGTCCTCAGATCTGTGCGTAGGTCAAATGTTTCTCTCCCCTTTTTAATGTCTCATTTCTTGTCCGGAGAAATAAACAGCAGCCAGGCAGTAACCCATGTCAATTTCAGTTTGCCTCATTTCTGCCATAATACACAGAACATCCATGGCACAATCACATCAGCTACTTTGTGCTGGCAGGGTTTTGTCAAGCAGTTTTGTTCACTCTGCCTTGGAAAAACTCCATGGACATCACTGAGAAGTACAACATGATGAAGGTTGAGTAGTGTTGCCAGATGCCTGAAGACCTCCCACAGGGAGCACATCTGGTTTTGTCTGCTTTGGAGATAAACCAGTCCAGGAGATAGCCCCATGGACTGAGGACCACCCAGACTTCTTGGCACTATATATGCAGCTTGGGAGTGCTTTAACTGCTCCGAGGAAATCACAGCAAGTTCTCATGTTGCTGATAGTCAGGAATTTAAAATTATACGCTCTGTGTAAGTAATAAAGCTATTGCAAAATAAAAAATATTTTGCTTATTTAAAGGTTGAATGTTTGCCATCACTAACAGCAGTAAATATTTTTGCCTGGAACTTCCCAGCTGCCTTCCTCCTCTACTCTGACTCACTCTGTTTTGTCACACTTCAGAAATATCTAAGCCTAGAAAAGTCTTTGAAGCTATTTGTCAACTGTTTTACAAAGGCAGTTTAAACGATACTGTAAGACATGGTTGTGTTTTCAGCCACAGCTATCAACCCAGACATTCTGTCAGGTGGGGAAACCTTGTGGAGTTTTTCATCATAAGCAAATGTGATCAGCTTCAAAGAGTAGGAGGATGCTGTCTGGTACCAAAATGACACTAAAAATGATGTTGAAGTCTCTTCTTCATAAATAGTCTCCATGGTTTCAATGCAAGTTTTTCCAAGTAAGAACCTAAATTCTCTATGAAAAGGCACAGTAAAAGTTTTGTTCTGTATAAATGGTACACTTTGTATTTCAGCATGAAGTTTAAATGCCTGTAATTTGATTACCTAGTGTTTCATATGTAGGATTACGATCTTTCTGCTTGGAAGTATAAAATTTGGAAATACAATGAGAGGATCCAGTTGAAAGTTGATGCCTGAACAGTTTCTAGGCAGACAAACTCATGTTTCTGCATATGCACCAAAGGCAATATTAAAATATTCTGTCTGGCTACAGTTTCACTTGTGACTATGAACAATGCTGGAATAAAACCATGCGAAGTTGATATTTCCAGGTCAAGGCACAGGCATGAACAAATGTGCTGTGCACACTGTGAATGAAAGATCCTGTCCAGGACACTCTTCAGTCTTCCATTGAAGCACACAGCTTTGTTGTTCACCAGTGTAGACCAGAGCAGAAATCAGAGCAGAACATTTTCCTAGCAGTCCCACACAATCCTCAGACACTTTGACACATATGTGGGTACCAGCAAGCCATAATTTGGCTCTGTGGGCATTTGTAAGCAGTTATCAATAATTTCAATCTTCCTTGGGTTTGTTTGAGCACTGGACATCATCTTATTCAGCCACAGTGGCAAGAGACAGTGACGGGCAACCAGCACTGATTTCACCCAGTGAGCATCTTCCAGGACAGAGAGCAAGGACTTGTGACAAATCTTCTCTTTGGACATCTTTGAACATCAGGGGCTGGGATCATATCTCAGTCCAGGAGACAAAACTAGCCCTAATTTGAAGTAAATCTTCTAAACCACGCATAATCCAGTTATGGGGCTCTCAGTACCAACCGACCCTCTCCTGTTGTGCTTCATTACTTAATAATGTATATGTAGTCTTGGAAAAATATAAGTGTTTAATCACTGGTACTAATACAGGCAATGGTTTAAGCAATGATAACATTTTCTTTCAAGACAGTAGCATTGAGTTTGGCAATGAAATAATAAAAAAAGAGAAAAGGAGAGCCGAACAGTTAGACAGTAAAAAGTCAGTATGATAAAATGTCAGCACAGTTAATTCAAATTAACCTTATTTAATTAAATATTATAAAGATATTATAAATATAACAGTAATAACATTATTGTTATGCAATATTATATTTAAACAAATTGCTTTGTTTTATTCAAATAACAGAAGACACACATAAAAAGGTCACAAACACGAATATATCAGACTAGGTAAGGATTACCTAGGCCTCATAATTGAGGTAATATATTCAGTACAAAAGATCTAACAGGGATTTCTCTGTTGTAAAAGATCATACAAAAAAGAAATGTGGGAGAAAATGAGCACCAAATGCTGCACCAAAACTGAGCTAGTGCAGGAGTCCAGGATAGAGCCAGAAAGTATTCTCATTTGGAAAATTTTAAAACAAGATTATGAAACAGAATGGGAAAGCATGGGGAGGAGAGCAGGATAAAAATGAAACAAAGCAAAAGCAAGATGCAACAAGCCTAATCAAAGTCTCTGTCTGAAAATCCAGTGCTTTTCAAACATTATGTGATTCATGATCAGATTTTCATCTAAAAAGTGAGAACAGTATTTTCAAAAGGAGCTACTCCTCTAGCACCTCAGGTACAATATTCAGTACAATAACCTTTTTCATTTAGAAGTCAAACAGAAACACTAAAAAGATTGGCTTGAAGCCTGCTAAGGTGCTGTTTTGGTTTTGGTTTTCTCTTTTCCCCTTCTCACTGATACAAAAATAAAATCAAACTTGTAATGTCAGAGCAGAGATCCAGAAAATGAAAGAACAAACATCTGATTTAATTCACAGATAATTGTAGAAAAAACCCAAAGGAAATCAAAGTCTAGTTTCACAAAGTTGTCACTAAGACTTCCTTTTTAAAAATATTCAGTGTGTTATAGATACTTCCTGAGTAACTGAGAGCCTGAGAAACAAATCCCATCTCCACCTCTTAGGCAAGGTTTTGGTACCAGGGGGCTGACTACAGGGGTGACTTCTATGAGAAGTTTTAGAAGCTTCCCCTGTGTCCAAGAGAGCCAATACCAGCTGGCTCCAAGACAGACCGACTGCTAACCAAGGCTGAGCATCAATTAGCAATGGTGGTAGTGCCTCTGGGATAACACATTAAAGAAGGAAAAAGTTATTGCACAGAAGCAATTGCAGCCAGAGAAGAAAGGAGTAAGAATGTGTGAGAAGAACAGCCCTGTAGACCCCAAGGTCAGAGAAGGAGGGGCAGGAGGTGCTCCAGGAGACAGAGCAGCCTGTGGGGAAGACCATGGTGAGTCAGCTGTGCCCCTGTAGCACAAAGAGATCCATGGTGAAACAGCCTCTGGAGGACTCGATATATTTTCTGGTTTTATACAGTACAAAGGATCTAGATTTGTTTTGTAAGTGGCATGATAATACAAAGCAAACTAATATTAATTAATACAAAGCAAACTAATATTAATTTGGTGATACCTCACTGTAATAATGGTTTAAAAGTGAGAGTGATAAGTTATTTCAGGTTCCATGCTGTCTCTCTGGTTCTTTGATACTATGATAGCTCTTACATGGAGAGAGGCTTATTTATGTTAAACTTTCATTAAATCAGGCTAGATACTGAATCAAAAAGTCTTGCCTTCTTGTTGTTGTAGAGATGGACAGAAATGACACACTGAGAAATGTATCAAAGACCTTTTTTATTGCTAGCTGTTCTCCTTTTTTACACAGTTTTACAGACTTCATGTGTGATTCCAATTGGTTAGTAGCTTTCTTGTCAATTACTCTATTGGTGAGTAAAAAGTGTTTTTCTTGTCTATCGAATCTTTCTATTCTTAAATTGTTTACATATTTTCTTCAATTATTCTCAAGGGATAGATTTAAAGTTTTTGCAGGTGCTAGTTGTTTTTCACCCAGGAATAGATTGTTATCTTAACAAACTGTTCACACCAGGTTTGTTTTCACATGGGAACTTGCAAAGTGCTAGCTTTGCTTAGAAGAAATGACAGGCTAGCCACTGATCTAACAGAACAGGCCTGATTTTACGAGGCCCTTCTTTAATAATTTTTCTACATTACTGCAACACCTTTGAAATGCTCAGTTTAATGGATGAACTCAGCCTAAAGCATTATGAGGCATTTCATCAATTACATTAAAACCATCTACTGGAACTTAAGAGTCACTTTGCAAAAGAGAAAGCTATGAAAATGTTGATTTTCACAGTTGCACATTTTTCAGCAAGAAAATCTTGTAATCTTTGGATTGTGACAGTTTCATCACTGGTGGAAATATGGTTCAGATTTGACTACTTACAACATCAGATTAAAAAGTAGTATGAGGATGTGAATAAAACAACAAAACATATTCAATTAGAACTTTATTCAAAATCCTATAAGTAAACATCTACATTTCCAAAGGTAGCTAGTTATGCTGATGTTTGATTTGACACATCAAAGCAGGCTCAGGTCTTCACAGCCTTGACATTCAGCAATCTGTAAAAAAGACAGCATCTGCTCTAAGGAGAGATGAGACACCACATAGTGAGCCCTCCAAACCACTGGTCGCTTTTAGGGAAAGGCAATAAAAGGAAGAAGCAAAATGCATTTACTTAAGTACATTCAGCAATATGAATACATTTTTTCTTTGTCCCTCTTCTGTTTATATCTCCTGCATATTTTCCCTTCATTTTTTACAGATTATTTTTCTGTGTTCCTGAACTGTATTCTCCTCTTTTCTGTTTCCTTCAGGAATTTCTAACCTTCTGTATGTCTCCTCATTCATTCCCCTTATCAGTGCTTCTTCCTTTTCCTTCACTGGTTCCCCTCCTCTGGCATGAAATACAGGGGGCTTGTCTTCTCTCATTGTCTCCTCCCTTTTGTCCATTTCTATAGCCTGTACCCCCTCCATCTCCCTACTAGTCTCTCCTTTCTTCCCCAGATCCTTACACAGAAAAGATTGCATGAATGGAGATGGTTTGGTGAACACAGGAGCTGAAGCTAAATTGCTCCCAGTTTCTCTCCCATTATGTATCTTTTCTGCCACCTCTTCTCTCATGATGCCTGCCTGCCCACTGCAAAATGGGCAGCATAGCTGGTAAGGAGGGCACCACTTGTTTCCAGCAGCAGTCCTGGGAATGAAGGTACATCCAAATTCCCAAAGGAAAATCAACAGATTTTCAGCACCTACATCAATCTGAATTAACTGCTTTATTTTAAAGCTCTTTCTTCATGGTTCTGAACAAGAAATGAAGAAGATAATGATATTTGAAAACTCTGCTTGCCTTCACTAGAAGCCTGAGGTACATGACTTTTAAAATTATGCCAACATATCAAAACTCTGAGTCATTCTGTAGTTGCTAGGTCTGCTAGCTATAAGTGTTCCTACAAGTAAGTAACTAAAGTAAAGGCAGTGTGGCAGGAGGCTGTACTGATGAAACACTTCTTATACCAGTAATACCTTAATGGCTATTATAGCTTAATAGCACTTCTTATACCAGTAATAGAGTGATAGCTCTTGTAACTAAGATGCCACTATCTCCTGATCTCACAAGATCAAGATAGGAAGAAAGAGGTGCTAGTCATTTTTAAACTACTATCTCCCAAGAATGTGGGAATGAGCTTCATGTAATGGCAAAATATGCTGAGTTCATATATTCTGCAAGCTCATGGTATTAAAAATATTCCTCTTAAAAAGCAAACAAGCTCTGCTTTCTTAGGGTTTAAAGAGAGTTAGGTTAGGAGAGAATGTGGGCACACACTAAGCCAAAATCTATAAAGAACAGGTCTGCTCCACAAAAGCTACACTCTACAGACTGTAGAGAGAAACACATTTCCCAGAGCAGCCACTGACCACTGCCAGCAAATACTAAAATGCCTGAAAGAATACCTAGATCAAGCTCTTTTCAGGTGCTCTGGAGGAGTGCTTTTCCAAACAATTGAATTTCTTAGGGTTGGATGCTAAGAACAGTAAGGTTCATAATGAACATGAAAACAACACTCACCATCTATCAGTAGGAACCAAGTGATTATTCCACAAAACAGATGAGGAACCTTTACAAAAGGTTTCAGAATATGAAATAAGGTGACTCAACACAGCAGTCCTGAACAGATTTCTTCTGCAAAGATTTCAAAGTCTATTGCCTACTTACCAAAGGAAGAGATGGGTTAGCTCTGCAGAAAGATGCCCTGCAACTTCAAAATTAGGTGTTAAAGTGGAATATAATTATAGTTATTATTGACTCTTACTTTTCATTCTTGCATGTCTTGAGTAGAATTGAGGCTGTAAAAGTAAGTCACTGCTGCTCTGTGACACTGGTTTCAGGCTTCTAATGGAGAAATTGTTCTTCACTTTCCAAACTTCTTCCAGAGCTGCTGTTAAGAATTAGTCAAAATAATAGCTTTATAACTGATCACTTCAGCTTGTTCTAGAATTAATATAAAACTACACAATAATAGTCTTCCATAGTTAATGAAAACAGATTGACATCTTCAGAGAGAAATTCAGATTGCTAAAGGTGCATAATGCTCTCTACTGTTTATAGAAGCTCTTAGGACTACTCAGGCACTCAACTGAAGCAGGATATAGCTTGTCTATAATAAATAAGAAACAGCAGTAATACCACTGATGCAGGCAGCATCCTTCTTTGGTCATACTGGAATACCAAATGCCCTCATAAAATTAGAGAAAACAACACCCACCCCCCAAAAAAACCCAACCCAAACTAACCAAACAAACAAAAAACCAAAGCCATCACCATAGAACAAAATTAAAAGCTAATTTATTTTGTGGAAAGGTTACAATTTACTAGCCATCTAATTTATTTTAAACAATACACTTTAGTAGTCTAAACTGTGTAAATCATAACCATCTAACCTCACAATTATTGCCTATCAGAACCCAGGCCACTTAGTAAACATCTCTAATTGTCCAAACAGCTGAAAAAGGAATTCAGTACTTGAGAAATAATCTGTACACCAGCATCTATATTTTTCATATTTATCATTGTTACGCTATGCCTATAATATTATGCTGTACATAGCATTTCTGTACTGAGCTTGCTATAGATCCATATTACACAGTCCTGTAACAAATATTTGTGTAGTGTTTCTCTATTATCTTTGTACTCTAAGCCTTTGTAACATACATTTCTTTGGGACACTCCTCAAAAGTCATGAGAACATATAAGGTAATACCCATTTCTTCAACCAGACTGAAATATTCCAGACAATTCTGATCCATTGGCAGATGAATGCAGAAAAAATAGTTGTGTTCAGCTCTTAGTAAAATTAGACACCTGACCAGATTGAGAAGACCAGTGTTAACATCTGCAACTCAGCTCTGTGTTCAGGACCCCTTTTGAGTCAACAGGAAAAGAACACTTTTAGAGCATGACACATGCAATGACAGGTGTCTAGGACAAGACAAAACAATGTCCAAAGTGCCTTTCTTCCTCTGCTTGCTATACACAGAAGCTACCTAGGTCAGTCGTTTGCAGATGTGTGCTGTAATTCCCTACAGAGCCTAATCACAGTAATAAGAATTACAGGCTGAAATGGTATTTACATCTGCTGGGTACTGATTACATCACCTAAATTAGGTACATTTTTGTCTGTGAATGCAACTGTTTTAAATTAATTGTGAGCGAGTTTAGAAATGGGTCTCAATCCTACACAAGAGAAACCATATTCTAATAACTACAGCATTTCTTTCAAAGAAAAAGTTAACAAAACCTCCCTACTGCTTGGCAATTGTTTCTGGTTTATTAAACTGATATATCATACAGTATTATCTGTGTTCTCTCTGGTCTCATAATTTCTGACCAAAAACAAAAAGAGGAAAAAAGTAATAAAGACTATATGTAATACTGCTGCTTCTAAATGTTCTGCACAATATTACATAAATGTTCTGTAATTTTGCCACAGTTCCTCAAAACAATCACTTGTCCTGACAAACGCTGTTTGCTGATAAGGAGGATTACCTGCAGCTGGATGATTAATGTTGCATTCTTCTTTCTGTAAATGAAAGTGCTCCTCCAGTAGTTCTTTAACTCTCCTAGGTGGCTCAACATATACACATTTCTGCCCTGTTAGTAAAATATATTACAAAACAACCAGTTATTATAAATCCCCTGAATGCCGATGTACTTTGCTGAACACAATTGTCAACCTAGGCTACTCTACATCCGTCTTCAATACACAGTGAACCAAATAATTTACAAATACGTTCAGGCCCTGCTCCCCAGGATGGGAAGATCGTAGAGGATAGGGCCGTGGTGGCTCCACCCAGACGGAGAGCGCCGGTAGCCAAAGCCACCCCAGGGCCACTCGGGGGGGCGGGCACGGCAGGGCAGGGATCTAGATGGAGAGGCACCCAAGAAGATGTCTCGCTGCAGCAAGTCTCCAGGCGGCTGAAGGGGGATGCGGACGCCCCACGGCACCGGGGCCAGCGCTTGAGGCGGAGCTGGGGGACATCGGTGAGAGCCGCGGGAACGGCGGGGCCGCCGAGGGACACGGCGGGGCGGGGCAGGGTGGCGGGGAGCGGGGACGGCCGTGCTCAGGGGCTGCTCTCGGGGCTGCTCTCGGGGCTGCTCTCGGGGCCGCTCTCGGGGCTGCTCGCGGGGCTGCTCGCGGGGCTGCTCTCGGGTTGCTCCTGGGGTGCTCGCGGGGCCGCTCTCGGGGCTGCTCTCGGGGCTGCTCGCCGCGGCCCTGCCCGCCCGGCTCGCCGGCCGCCGCCCCCATGGCCGCCGCGCCGCGCCGCGGGTTGCCAGGCTGCGGGCAGGCGGGGCCGCCGCGCCGGTCCCCGGGCAGCGGGCCGGCCCCAGAACCCGGGGACTGCAGGCCTGGCTTGGAGCACGCACTGGGGGACGGCTGTGGGTGGCATCAGCAGCTGCTCCTCCGTGTCACTCGGCATGGCCGCGGCAGCGGGCACGCACATCACACACCTGTACCGCTGCGGCTGGCACCACCGGCCTGCCCTGCGGCACGATGCTCTGCCATTCCCGCCCGAGGCAATGCCGGCCCGAAGAGAAGAACGACAGAGGCCAGTTTTACTGATGTATACCTACTGATACTCAAAAGCACTAGTTTGGTCATCAAACGAGGCATCTTCAGACACTGCTTATTGGACTGAAGTGGCCTTGTAATCCACGTCCTTTTATTCCTTGCTACATTTCAAGATACATTCATCATCCACAGATGTCCTGAAACTAAACTTTTAAAAATAATAAACATTAAAATCGTGTTACACCATTCACAGTTCAGAAGCTGTGTTTCCATTTTCCAAAAGAAAGTGCTGAATATTACATCCTGCTTCTAAATGGTGGGTGACCAAGGCGCCCTCCACAGTAGCTTGATCAGAGCACCCAATGTGGTCCAGCATACCCCAATCTTGCTGCTACTGCTGCAACTGTGCTGCATATGTGCTAGTGGAAGGAGCTTGGGATTGCTCAGTAAGGCATCTGCATGGGACAGTGAAGTGTTTACTACAGCTTTCATAGTGACACTACTTCAGCACTTACATTCTATTTTCAGTTTGTTTAACAGAGAAGCAATTTCTCCACGTCTAAATTACAGATGGCAAAGTTGAAGCTGAAAACCTTACTGTGTGCCCTTACCATGGCAAAATTTTAGTGTACTAACTAAAGAGTGCAGGAAAAATACTAAATTACCTGTAACTAAATCAGACACGACAGTATCCTGGCTGTTTATCCTCATATGGTTGTGGCTCATTTTTTCCAACTAATGCCACGTTCTTGACATTTAGTCTTTCTGCAACTTAATTGCAAGGGAAAAGTAAACAGAATCTTGGTAGAAAATCACTTCCTTGAAAAGCACCAGGGAAAAAAACAGAACTACTTTCTATCCTATTAATAATGTGGCTGATTTATGAGCAGGCGATTGCATTGGAAAAGCCCAAATGGGCTTTCAATTAAAAATACAACAAAATACTTTGGGTTAAATATTTTATTTCATAAGCCTTACATTAGGTTTATTAAACATTTTGTGTATCACCCAAATAAGTTACATTCATTCTGAGCTTTCATGCAGTTTTAAAAAAGTTAGAATTTCTCAAAAATAATTTTCAAGTGAGCTGTAATAAAGTCTGCATAACCAAGCCAGAATTTTTTCACATCAGGTAAACATTCCAGTTTTCCCTCCTGCTTTGACACTACAGACAACTTAGAAAGGCCTCTCCAAATCTGCACTTATTAAACAGACATTCACAGAAATTACTGAGACTTTCTGACCACCTTCACTAACAGCAGAAACACTTCAAAGTACGGGCGTGACCACTGAACTGCGCTGCAGGAGGTGACATTTCGCCTGAGAATACTGAAATATCTTACGTTAAAACCTCGTTGCAAAGAGACACACCACCACCGACAGGCATGCAGAACACTAACAAGAAAGAGGCAGAAAACCTCACATTCACAAGCTTTTATGGGGACACAGTGTTTATGCACTCATCTACTATTTCAAAAAGGTAGTGATATATATCAGTCCTCCTTGCAATGTCAAGAGCAGTTTCATCCAAGTTGTTTTTCAAGTCTGGCTTCACATAGCGATTCATCAGCAGGAGCTCAAGGGTTTCCCTGCTGTTTTTGTTCCCTGCAGCAATGTGCAGGGGTGTCAGCAGACCGTTTGTCTGCGCATTGATGTCTGCTCCCTGCTGAAGCAGGAACTCGGCCACTGTGGTGTTGTTCCACTTGCAGGCGCTGTGCAGGGGCGTCCAGCCGTCCACGGTCTGCGCGTGGACGTCGGCCCCCTGGGCCACCAACTCGTGTGCAATATCCAAATGCCCGCTGTAGGCAGCTCGATGGAGAGGAGTGTATTGATCTTCATCACGAGCGTTCACTGGAGCCAGCTTTTCCGTCAGGAGCCTCTTCACGGTACTCAGCTGTTGCAAGAAAACAGGGAACTTCATGTGATTCTAAGAAACAAGATGAATGGCTTTGATGGTCCTGAAGTTTAATGGAAAAGCAATTTCTGTCAGTGCCAGAAGCACTTAAAAAATCTCAGATACGGCCTCTCCACCCCAGTTTAAAGGCTTATTTGCCATGAAGAACTTAGCAGGCTTTCAGTTTATAGAAGTTAAAGTGCTGTTACTTGAACTTTGAACGGGAATCAAAATTTGTTCTAAAAGTCAATGAATCCAGAGATGCTTTAGTGTGTATGGGCTACAAAGGGGGATGATTTACATACCAGATTCAAATAGCTCAGAGAAATAAAGATAAGTATGGGTAAATTTTTCTTTGTGGATGAGACTACATACGTGCTCAAAATAACATTCTTGTAAATTATATATATCAACAGCAAGTGCCTTACCCGATTGTTTTCAGCAGCCCAGAGTAGCAATTTCTCTGGATGTTTTTCCATTTTCTTTTCTTGCATTTCGTACCATTCCTCCGTTCTTTCTTGCTCATCATCATCATCATCAGACTGTCCTGACCAACAGCTCTGAGTTCCTACAGGAATCAAATGCCTGTGTGTCTCCAGCAGTTCAAGTTGGTTAAAATGCTCTGTGAAGTCTTCAAACAGGTCGCTGTCATCATCATCTTCATCAGCTTGCTTGTCTTTACTCATTTTCAGCCAGCATCTGTGGGCAGTAGATGTAAAACAGCATTTATGCCAACTGTAATTTTTCTCGGTGCACAAACTGTCACTAAAACGACCTGATACATGATGCTGATGTTAACCAACAGCAAAACTCAAGGGAAAACTCAGTGATCCTCCACTAACCCGGGCTTTGCCAGCTCAGCCAGAACTCACAGGCAACATCCACGCTAGAAAAGCACCGTGTTACCCCGACGCCGAACGGCACCACCTTCAGACTGCAGTGCAGCAGTGCGCGGGGTTTGCCGAAACGCTGCTCCCTTTCCTAGCAAAGGCTCTGGAGAGCAGCCCGCACTGTGAGGCAGTCTCCGCCCCGCCCCGGCAGCCCGGCCCGCAGCTCCGGCCCCGCTCCGCTCCGCGGGGCTCGCATCGGCCCGGCAGGCCCCGGGACACCGCCCGCCCCCCGCCCGGCCCGCTGCCGTACCGGAGCGCCGCCGGGGCTGCGGGGGGCGCGGCAAGGCGCGGCACGGCGCGGCTCGGCGCGGCGCGGCGCGGCGCGGCGCGGCGCGGCTCGGCACGGCGCGGCACGGCACGGCACGGCGCGGCACGGCGCGGCGCGGCTCGGCACGGCACGGCGCGGCACGGCGCGGCGCGGCTCGGCACGGCGCGGCACGGCACGGCACGGCGCGGCTCGGCACGGCACGGCACGGCGCGGGGAGCGCTTCCGGGCCGCGCGGCCGCCGGACGTGACGGAACGCGCCGGGCCGGGCCGGGCCGGGGGCGGTGCTCGGGCCGAGCGGCGGCGGGAGCGGGAGGTGCAGCGGCGGCAGTGAGCGTCCCGTGTGATCGCGCCGCACTGTGCCCCTGCCCTGGCACAGCCTGGGGTGGTCTCTGGCGCTTGGCGTAGCGCCTGCGGAGAGAGAGGCTGACCGACTCCCCGGGCTGGCAGCGCTGTGCCAGAGCTCCCCGTGAGAACTCGGCACCAGGATGAGCACCGCCAGCTCACAGTAAGACCCGCTGTCGGCAGCTCCCTGCAGGCCTGGACGTCGGGCAGCAAGTGTTTCGTGTGCCTGGGACGAGAGCTGGGATCATCAGTTGTGTTTTCCCTCTGGTCCTTAGGTTCACCGTGTCTTCAGGCACGTGTAGATTACCAGTGCAAAGAGAGAACAAATATGTTTAAAAACAAAAAATATACAAAGGGCTCTTTAGTTTTTAATTAGATACTTCAGAGGGGTGCTTGCTCCCTTTCCTGGAGCAGAATGACTGGGATAAATCTTCCAACCGGCATGTTTGGCGATATGCTGTTTGCAATACAAGTCGTGAAGTATTTTGAGACTCTTACAGGACTGATATTTGGTAGAGTTTTATGGCAAATCTCTGTGTTTCATGACTTCGGACGGATAAGTTTACCTTAGTAAAAGCTGTGTAGACATTCCCTATGTGTATTGCTCTTTGACACTAGTTTTCCTGTCTTATTCAGGAATGATGAAGATACCTTTAAAATACTCGTTGCTACTGATATTCATCTTGGCTATTTGGAGAAGGACCCAGTGCGTGGAAATGACACATTTGTAACTTTCAATGAAATTCTGGACCACGCTCAAAAAAATGAAGTAAGTGCTACTTTTTGGAGAGGGAAGGACTGAG